GAGGGAGAGAGTGGAGGGGATGGAAGGGAGGGGGGGATAAGGGGAAAGACACAAGACCGTTACTGAAAGGATTGCTACCAGATATTGAAGGAATCCTAAACAGATTATTGAAACAGTTCAGATCATCATCATCGCCATCCTTCTCATTGTTGTTTATTCCATTTAAAAAATATGTTGAAAGAACTGGCCCCGCGGAAAATTGCATTTTTGAATTTTAAAAATTGCAAGGTAAACCGCCTAAAAATTGCAACCTTTCCGTCCCAGGCGCATTAGTACGGGCTTAACATTTTTAGTTTAAAAAACATGACAATTTTGAGTACCGGTAGCATAAAAGCAGCACAGCCTTTCATGACCAACAATACAAATTCATCAGATGTTATTAACAACATTTACTAGTAACAACACACGAGTACGTTAACAATAAAGTTATCGACCATGATAACACGGGACACAAAATAACGGAACTCTCAGTTTTCGTTATAACTTTTAAAAGAAAGCATAAAATTTGACCAAATTTAGTACATACCGGGTACTTGGTTCAAGCAAAAATATTGAAGTGTATGAGGTTTAGTCTATAAAAAACCAAAAAATTGACGAGAGATTTTCGAAGCAACCTCTAAATACAAAATAAGCTTATGCTCCAATCAAACCAGATCCTGTTCTATTTTTCTCTTGAAACCTTCGATACACCGGTAATCTGTCTTTAGATCTATTTCAGATATTTTCTGTTTTAAAACCGGCATGGTATTGTTTTAACACTAAGTCAAATCATAAAATACAGCAAATTTTTTTTTTCCATTTATAAACAATAGTAATACATGTACTCATGTAGATCTAGATCATTTCTATAGCACCCACTCCCGTGTGAACGCAGCTTAAGACGTTTTACATAACGGGGTGTTTACGTACACGGTACGCGGACACCTAGCCTCAGTGTCTACGTACACGGTAACCGGCAACAGGGCACGTAGTCTCAGTGTCACGTACACGGTAACCAGGCAGTTCAGAATTCCAAGTTCAGTTTTTGTCATCCGGTGTTGCCTTCAACTCCAGCCCTCCCCCAACTGTACATTTTTTAAAAAATCAATAATCCCCCCATTCCGGAGCCCTATACTTCGTAGCGAACAGACTTTGAATGAACTTTGGTGACCCCAACCTGTACTCACAATGTGATGCGAAAGCACAGGTTCGCCGACAAGACGCTTGTATGTCTTTCTTTTTTTATTTCAACAAGTGACAGCATAGGACAAATATTGGTTAATTTTCATTCCGGTGGGTTACCGTGTACGTAGATACTGAGACTAGGTGCCCGGTTACCGTGTAAATAGACACATGCATCATGTACGAACAATATTCACACGCGCGCACTCACACACACACACACTCACATACACCTCACACACATACACACGTACTTTCTTATCACACGCGCACGCTTACACACATTAGATACAGGCTTAGCCCAGAGAAGGCCACCTTCTCGGCCTAGTCTATGTCTCAGTTTGTGTTGTACATGATGCATTCCGGCCTGAATTTCCGGTATAGCTTTTGGAGTACGCTCAGTAGGCTTGGGCTGGGCCGATACCTGTACCATGATTTACCTAGGCCTATCGGCTCTGTACTTGCACCATTTCCTAGGAAAAATTCTGATAAAATTAAAGCGTTGATGTATTTTTGCCTAAAATTGCAAGACATTGCGAAAATTTCATAAAATTGCGGGTTTATTGCGGAACTCGTGATTTCCAGGAGGGCCAGAAAGAAAAAGAAGAAGAAGAAGAAGAAGAAGAAGAAGAAGAAGAAGAAGACGAACAACAACAACAACAAAAACAACCAGAACAACAACAACCACATCTACAACAACAACAACAAAAACAACACCACCACCACCACAACAACAACATCAAAAACAACAACAACAACAACAAAACAACAACAACAACAGCACCCACCTGTTGACCACATAAGCAGCCTCCTCTGTGGCAGGTTCCCGCGTCTGTCTGTCCTTCACCAGGTCCACTCCCCAGAACATGCCACGCCCCCTGTGGGAGGGGACGGGATTACTGTTTATGTTGTTGTTGGTCGTGGTTGTTGGCATCGTTGTTGTTGTGTTGTTGTAGTGGTGGTAGTCATGGTAGTAGTTGTTATTATTGTCGGACTTATTGTTATTGTGGTAGTTGCTACTAATTTCGATAGAAAAAGAAAAAAAAAAAATTTTCTGTTTCATAAAAAGTAGGCATATGGTTCTCAATCCCTCCCCCCCTCTCCTCCCTCTCCCTCTCCCCCTCCCTCACTCACCTGGTATCCCCTACAATGTGATACTTGTCCTGTACCTCCGCCAGCAATGTCTTCATCACCTCCTCCACCTCCCTGGCCCTCTGCATCAGATCCTCCTGCTCTATCACATCCAGCACAGCCAGACCCACGGCGCACGACACCGGGTTACCTCCATACTGGATG